CAGCCCAAGCAGCCCAAGCAGCCCAAGCAGGCAAAGCAGGCAAAGCAGCCAGGATTGAAAGGTCTTGGCAACCAGCGCAGAGGCGGCTGATGAAAGCGGGCGGTGGTGCCTTTGTTGGCGGCCACAGCGGATGCACTGCCAAGAAACTCGACACCTTGGCAGGACGGCCCTCTCTCTCTCTCTCTCCCCCTACTCGACTCAGCCGTAATCTTGCAGCTGCAGCGCTGATGTGGTGCCGCGCCGCTCAAATTCAAACAAGGAAAAAGAAAGAGCGCTCGAACCGGGTCGTCATCCGCGCAAGTGCGTGTGCCTAAAATTTCGAGCCCCACCACGCGCGTGCCAAGAACTTTTTAGTCTGGCTGCTCAAGTGCTGCTAGCCTGTTTGCGCTCCAATTCGAGTCCGCTCGTTGAGCCGCAGGTCTTGGCATTCCCGGGTCTTGGCTAGCGCGGGGGGGCATCCAATGCCAAGACTTTTGGATGATGCCCGCTCGACGCTACGGCATCCGCATCGTGGATCGGGACGACCGACGCTCCTTTCCGCACGAAAGGATCCACCACCAGCTTTCGACAGTGACCCCCAAATGATTGGACTGTCCCACCGTATCGTTGCTGCTAGGCTCTCACTTACGCCCTGAGCCCACGTCAGAGTTGCAGCACGCGTCACCACCCAGTCGGAGCTCAGTGCACCGGATAACGTGCCGAAGCCGGCATCGCCTGGCGTTTGAGTTGGCCCAGCGTGCCTGACGCGCACTACAAAAAAGCCTGGTTTTGAAATGCCGAGCTTGAATTCGTAAAGACTGGGCAGCATCGCAGTCGGCCGACAGCCGCGCTCTGCCGAAACGTGCGTCGGATCGATCCGCGCGTTTGCGCTACTGCCCTCGCTCGCCTCTGTCCCGCCGGCCAGCCGGAGGCGGACTCCGCTCTGCCCGCATTCAGAGCACACACTCCAGTTCTCGGAAGTCAACCCGACACCTTCCTGACGGATGGTTGGGTGGATTGGCAAGTCATGCGGACGCTGGCAACAGTCGACCACAAGGTCAGGATGACACTGGCAGTGGGTGTCAGACGTCGACGTCGCTGTGAGCTACATTCAATTCTTGGCTTGGAGGTCCCACAGCAGCGTAAGGCTCACAGCCATCGCGCTATCTTGCACGTGGGACTGCCTCGTAAGAAAGCACAGTGATGACGGTGGTCGTCGCACCTCCGCATCACCGAAGCGCGGCATGGTCAGCATGATGAGCACGCATCATTCCTGCCAAGGCCACGAGGTCTTCTCCGCATCCTGCCAAGATACGGGGGGCGAGCCAAGCACGGTCAGCTGCTCTTGGCAGTTGCCCAAGCTCCGCATGGCGCAATCCCAGCTTGACTCCATCGCCGATTCAAACCACGACCAGCTCCTGCCCGATCTGATGAAGCAAAAGTGAGAGCAGACAGAGATGCATTGGATTGGTCACGAACTGGTGCCAGCACCATCCTGAGGTGCAGAGATGGCGACGAGAAAGTCGCCGGGCGCGTCGAGGTATCGCCAGCTGGGCTTGCCTGAGCGCAATTGGCCAATGGTCGCCTGGATCTCGTTGATCCTCAGCCGACGCACGCGTTCGTCGCTCGCCTCGTGCTCGTTGTTGAGCCGATTCAGACTCGAGTGCACCGCCAGCCCAAACACCACCTTGGCCATCCTTCTGCGCTTCAAGCGTCTCGGCCGCAGCTCCGACGCAATCCCCGCCGCTCTTGTTGCGCTGCACTGCTCCGCCGACGCACCGTTCGACGCCGAACCTTGCTGCGCCAGCGTGGCTGCATCGTTGGTATCTACTGGAGTCGCTGCAGCTCTTGAAGGCGTCTTGCTCGGGCTCGTCCCGGGCGCCGATCGCATGGTCCGATCAAACAGACTGCCGGCTTGTACTGCCTGAGCTTTTGCCAGCAGCGCTTCCTGACTCGTGCCCGTCGCGACAGCCGACTTTGCCAGAGGCGAAGGACGAGCAGCATTCGGTGTAGGCGCCGCACCCAAGCTGGCTGCAAATGCACTCGTGGCGGCGTCGGATGGGCCCGATAGCGCCTGTGCCGATGCCGTCGAGACCGCCTGCACCGCCGTTCGAAAGTCGCGCTCGGCAGCGCCGAACTTTTCGGGCGTCAAGCCGCTCGCTCGGATCGCAGACGATCGATCCGGAATGCGCGCCTCCAGACTGCAGCCGTCGCAGCCATGCAGGACGATAGCAAAGGCAATATCAGTCAAGAGACTTCCAAGCGCTAGAAGTTGTCGTGCGCAACTTACCTCTCGGCTGCCAGATAGCAGCACACCGCGACAACACCCGTACCCGCATTCTTGACCGCCTTGGCGTTGCCTCGGCGCGACCAGATGTCGACCGCAGCAAGGTACGACTCCACTCGGTCGATCAGCGGGCCCGTGCGCACGCCGCACAACGCTTGAATCTGCGCTCGTCTCGACGCTGCCATGTCGATTGCCGAGATGCTCGATCGGATGTGGTCCCTGATGTTGAGGTGTTGAGGAGGCTCGAGGAGGCCCGAGCACACTCCGACACTTGCCGATGCACTCACTCGCTTCACGAAAAAGACCGAAATCCGATTTTTTCGCCGGTCCAAGCGAGTGACGCAGAAGAAGGCGGCCGATGAAGGCCACGGAAGTGTCGCTGCGCACTCGACCAGTCACAGCAGCAGCAAAAGCAGCAGCAGCAGCAGCAGCAGCAGC